AATATAATTAGACCTTTATCTTGCTGTAATATAGTATTTTTTTTAAAAAAATCTTAAATATTTAAAAATAACTTGCACAAAAATTTTGGTTTTTGGTTAAAAGCACGGATGTGTCAATACATATATGTATATATGTAAACAACACACATATTTATTCCAGGAGAGTTTAATGCTTCCCTGTCCTATGAGGCTCAACAGTGAAGGTCACAGCACACCAAGCTTTGGAGCTCCACAGCAGCCCTAGGGCCAAATCTTAAATATTTAAAAATAACTTGCACAAAAATTTTGGTTTTTGGTTAAAAGCACGGATGTGTCAATACATATATGTATATATGTAAACAACACACATATTTATTCCAGGAGAGTTTAATGCTTCCCTGTCCTATGAGGCTCAACAGTGAAGGTCACAGCACACCAAGCTTTGGAGCTCCACAGCAGCCCTAGGGCCAAAGCAGGGTTCTGACTGAAAGGCTAGCATCCAAGAGGGGGGCCATAAAAGATGCAAAGCAGTCAGCAAAGACAAGGGCTTCTGGGAAGGTGCAGGAAGGAGGCACCAACAGCAAACTTAGACGTCAAATGAATGACAGAAAGGCCAGAGCGCCCTAACCTCCAGTCTTCCTGCCCCCCATCTCCATAAACACAAAATAAAAAATCAAAGAGAAGAGCCCTCTTCTAGGGGATCGCTGATATTCTGTCCTGTTTCATTGAACTGTCTACTATTTCTGTATGGTTTTTGTCTTTTTGTTGGTAGTGGGATTTAACTCAGGGCTTTTCACATGCCTGGCATGCACGCGACCGTGAGCACCACCTCTAGCCCCTCAACTGTCTTATCATTTTTCATAAAATGCGTACAAAAGTAGTCAGAAGGTAATTTTTGGAGGTGGACTTTTAAACTATATACATTTATGGTAGAAAGAAATTGTTGGTAATTCCAGATGCTGTACTACTAAGTAGAATGCTGAAGACTCTTAAGATACATACTGTTTTTCAGGGACATCCCAAGATAAAATCTGGAGCTGGTTACGGCTACTTTAAGAAATCTGGAAACCGGGGCGCCTGTTAACAGAGGCAGCCCTGTGGTGAGCATCGGCGGTATTTGCAGAGCTTGTTAAAATTATTTTGGTTTCTGATGTTTAGAGGGCAGTTTTTTAAGATTTCTGCATTTAAATCATAATTTATTAATGCTTATTTCTTAATCTTCTTGTGCAAGAAAATTAGGAGCCTAAACAGCCTAAAACCTGCTGAAATTCAGGAAGCAAACTGGATTTCTGTGCACCAAACAAGAAACAAGTAAGTATAAATCAAACCATCCCTAGATTAGCTGATTCATCAGTGAGGTGTGTTCCCCATGTGGTGAACTCACAGGTATAAATGAACAAACTTCATTCATGTGCATCCATTAAAGGTACTACCTATGCGAATTTACCATAGGCACAATAGAATTAGGGAGTTCCAAAAGTAAACAAAATACCAGACTTTTGTGTATCAGTAATTTCGATATCACATGTTCCCTGGAAATGTTCATGTCTATTAATATTGCAGAGCATATGATATCCAGAAGTGAGATAATAATTTAAAGAATATGTGATTTTCACAGTGCAGTAACAAAAAGAAATCAGCAATAGATTATCAACGGGCCAAAGTAGTAATCAGACTGGCACACATTTCGAAAAAATCCATGGTATGACTACCCAGGCGAGGGGAAACTGAAGACATCGTGCTTCCGGTCAAGGAGCCAGTCAGAGAGCTTGAAAGTGAATGGCTCTCTGCAGCTGTGGAATCAAAACTTGACCGCGGTCTGTGTAAGCCAGCAGCAGAACAGGAACGCTGGGGTGTTGAAGAACCAGACCTCTGTTCCACTACCTCATCTGAAACGGATCAAAGAACAGTGTATATAACAAGCGTATCGCCCAAGCCCTCCCTGTGATGCTGCTGCATTCAGAACACTAAGGAAACACATCTAATCGAGGAGTGTAGCGTTCATACTAAAATGAAAGTGAATACGCCCATGTTCGAAAAAACACACACTTAGCACTCACTTTCTCCTAGAAATATACATTTAACTTCACTTAAAAAGTAGAAGGCCTACCCAGCATGTCTTTGAGGCTATTTTAACACCTGATCAAATAGTACCGAGGTTTATTTTCTTAGAATTCATTTCTGCATAGCTTTCTTACCATCAATGCTTTTAAAGTCCAAAAGATAGCTCCGATTGTCAACCAAGTAAAGCTGTAAGCTCATTTTCACATAATTGCCAGTCACTGGATTTCTTCTTCTTACTCGAAGATGGTATGCATTCACTACCTAAAACAGTAATAAGTAAAAATTAAAAACTGTACAATGCCTCCCAACTTAGCAAAGAATGTAAAAAACAAATAATCGATATGGATAAGAAATATATTTAATCCTACTAACAGTAAGTACCATGTATGTAAAAGAAAATTTGGAGATTGTGTAGAGTCCAGACTTTAACCCAGATACGTATCTGTCCTAGAGTTATCAACAGTAATTTGGGACACCGAGCCTCTACTTCAAATCTCTTGATAAATAGGGAGCAGAAGGAAAAAGAAAAAAACAACATGTTAAGTAGGGACTTACACCAGGTTCAATCACAAAATACAAATAACACAACAGTCCTGGGAGGAAGGTATTTATTTGCCTTCTAGAAGTAAGAAAACTGCAGCTCAGTTACAGAAGATTCTAGGTTTTCAGAAAATCTATCAAATTCCTAAATTCTTTCCATAAGAAATTTTAAAGGTGTTGACCTCTCCTTGTATTTACATACTTATTTACTGAGCTAGGGTCTCACACTGGCCTTATACCTGTGGTAATGTTGTTGCCTCAGCCTCTGGAGTACTGGGATTACATGCATGAGCCAGTAAAATCCCCTTTTAACTAAACAAAATTGCTTCAGAAAAGAGGATCTATTTTAGTTGAAGGAAATGTTATTTCTGTACAAATTATGAAATGAAAATAGCAACTGATTTACTAGGATATGTCAATGTTTATGTGGTAAGTTTAAATGTTTTTCTTTTAGTGGGTCACAGAACAAAACCTTAAGTCACGGATCTTCTAAAGAGACAGGTGGGGTCACAGGTAGGGTCCAGGAGTGAGGCTGGTGACAGGAGGAGAGGGAGAGAAGGGAGGATGGGGAGGTGACAAGACTGTTTTATACACGTGTGAAAGGGTCTAAAGAGTATCGTAATAAAAAATTAAAATAAATGTTCCTCATCTTGAAGACAAGACACCAGCAAAAGGGATATCTAAAATGAAAAAAATGTACCCACATACACAGAGTTGGTATGAAATAAAATGCTAATTTTTTTCAAATTTTTTAAAATAAAATGCTTATTCAAAAGTAAGTAAAATGTGTCCCAATAGTAAGAAAAATATACCATACCCATGTGTGATGGTTAATATTGAACAGTGTTGGTACTGTTAAAGACTACGGGGACTTTGGACGTTGGACTGAAAGCATTTTACATCATGAGATGGCCATAAGCCCATGGGGATAAGAAGTCTAAGAATGGTATGTTTGGGTGTCAAGTTGATAAGGGGTGGTCTGTGGTGGTCATATTGACAGAGTGACCAGACCTTGAATCACCTGGAGCGCAAACCTCTGGACATGTCTCTGAGGAATTTGTTTTTTCCAGATTAGGTTAACTGAAGTGGAAAGGTCTAAATTAAATGTGGGCAGCACTTCGTGGGCTGAAGTCCTGGACTGAGAGAAAAGGAGATGGCGTGGGCACTTGGCACTGGCATTCATCACTCTTTGCTTCCTGACCATGGGCATGATGTGACCTCTTCCTCACACTCCTGCCACCATGACTTCCCTGCTATGGTGGACTGCACCCTCAAGCTGTGAGCCAGAATTAACCCTTCCTTCCTCAAGATGCTTTTGTCATAGCAACCCAGAAAGTACCTGATACCCGAGGACTTAAAACACCAGATAAGAGGATTTCTCAGTCTGGAGAGACGTATTTGTTGGCTGAACGAAAAGGACTTGACAGTAAAATTTATACTAAACACTAGCTGCCACAGACACCTACCATCTGTGCCCAGAAAGCAGGAAAAATAAAAAGTAAGTAAATATGAACCGTGATGAAACAGGTGAGCTGTTTTTGCAGACAATTTCAAGTAATTACTTTGTTTCTAGGTCAAGAATGCTATTCTATAATTAAAATACCCAAGTTCCCAACAATAGCTCTTTATACTTGTGTTTTCACTGCGTGCTATAACCTAAAAAGAATGGGCCATGTCCACGAAGCATGCGGAAGTTATTTCTAAATCAAAAACAACTTTTGATTGACCTTAATACTCACCTCAACTGCTTAAGCAGCTTATTATAGGAAGAATCATTTCTATGAACAAACTTAGTGCACTCTGATTGCCTACCTTCCATTCAAAGTCCAGCTGCTTCATAGCTCTGTACACTTCGGCCATAATGTCATATGGTTTGCTCTGGCTTCGGATCCCAAGATGCCACTTGGCTTTTTTCACAGCTAAAGATTTGGGTTTAGTCGTATTCAGTGCATCCAGTGGACATCGTGCTTTGGGGCTGTCTGCTATAAGGGGTGGCATCCTCTCTGGATGTGGTTTCAGGCCTGGGGGAATATGCATGGCACTATCATCCATAAAAGAACCAGTTGGAGGACTAGAGGCAAGGTAGAACTCGCTGGCTTGGTTCATTATTCTCCGATTGTCAATGATCAGATGATAAGCCACCGCGAGCTGGTCTTGAGGGTCACCACTGTATAAACTGTTCATTACTTCTGATTCTGTACACTCAAATTTTTCACATACTTCTTTCACAGCCTCATCATCAATGACGTTAGCATCATAGGAGGGGTCTTCAGGAAATAGGTAACTGGGCAAATCTTGCTTAAACCATTCATGTTCTCTAGGAAAAATACCATAAACACTATTGTAAGAACATGTTTTGGCAAGTCCCAAATAATTTAGATATGGGACAAAGCAGCACAACAGACTCCAAAATACTGGTTTCTAGTGCCAGCTCTGCACCTATCGGCCATTGCCCCTGTGCCAGGTAACTAGTCCCTACTCCTGAATAAACACAGGTACTCAGACTTGGGCTATCATTAGCGATATTTGTGGCCAATGATAAAATTTACATTGTATAGTAATTTGTTATCTGCCTCCTAAAGTTTGATGGTTTCTCAGGACCCAAAGACTTTCTGATGAAGTTAGTGATGATAATAAATATAATTTTTAATAATATAATTTTAAAAATATTTTATTTTATGTGTATGTGTATACTGCCTGCATGTATGTAACTGTACCCATGTCATGCCATGTCCATGGAGGTCAGAAGGGGGCATCGGATAACCTGGAGCCAGCATTATAGTCAGTTGTTAACTGCCATGTGGGTGTTGGGAACTGAACCTGAGTCTTCTGAAAAAGCAGTCAGTGCTCCTAAAGGCTGAGCCATCTCCCCAGTCCCAGTGAATATAATTTTTGAAATAACAGCTGGAAAATCTGTGTAGTTCAATAATGTAAGATTCTAGTGCACAATGTATGATGTGACAGAATCATACATATATGAGAGATACACTCAAAATTTAAGACCCATCAATTGACTATACTGTATATGAAAGTTCATTGATACTTTTTCTCACTTCATAGTACAAATTGCAAGCTAATGTGTCAAGCTTTGTTTTAGTATCAAAGAATACTGCAACTATCTGAATGGCTATTAAAATACTCCTTTATTTCCCAACTACTTACCTGAGGCCAAATTTTCTTCAAGAACTTCAACTAATACAAACTACTGCAAAATTAAGTGCAGAAGCAAACTGATAATCTGGATGCCTTTGACTAAGTGGACATTAAGGTCATTCAGAAGAGTGTAGGCTACCGCCACCCTTTTCACAATCTCTTCTTGAAATTTTAAATAATTTTCATGAAACGGAATTTGCCATTTGTCCTAGCAGTACACATACAATCCTAGCTACTCAGAAGGCTGAGAGGAGGATGTCAAGTTCAAGGCCTGTCTGAGCTACAGAGGAAACTCGAGGCCAAGGTGGGTCATTTAGTATAACATCTCAAAATAAAAAGTAAAAAGGAGATGGGGGTGGGGACCAGAAATATAAATTAGCAGTAGAGTGCTGCCAGAAACAGAAGGCCCTATATCCAATACTTAGTTTTAAAAAAAGACAACTTACTTAATATTTAATGGATGCTTTTTATTTTCAGTAAATTTAATTCTTATTTTAATTTGTATGTGCTATTGATATATCTTTCATTAAAAAATTCTTTGAGATCCTCAATATTGTTTTCCTTCTTTTAAAATTTTTTATTGAGCTTTTTAAATTTCATACATTTCCCACTCAAATCCAGACCCCCTCCCCCATCTATGCCTCCCCCTATCCACCCACCGAACCCTATGCACTCTGCCATACATGCTGAGTCCTAGTCATTCAGGTGTTTGTACCCAAATGTCCTTCAGTGTAAATGTGTCCACTGGAGTCTAGTCAGCCCATCCAGTGGTCGTATGTAAGTCATACTCTCCCTCACCCAGCAGCAATCAGTCTCAAATAGTTCTCAATCTAGTGCTGGCCCATCCCCTATTTCTCACCTCCCCTTTGAGCCCTTGTTTAATGGAGCTGACATGAGTCCCACACTTGATGCCACCTCTGCCACAGGCTCACATGAGCAAGCCTCCAGTGGCCTAGAAGCCTCCACCTCCCTGTAATCATGAACCAGCCTGGCTCTTAGAATTTTTCTGCCTCCTCTTCTGCATGGTCCCTGAGACGTGGGTGGATGAGGTTCCATGTAGGAGTTCCATCCTACACTCTACAGTCTCTTATTCTCCAAAATTTGGCCAGATGTGGCCTTCTGTGTGCATTGCACTCTGATGTACACGGCAGCCTCGCTGGTGAGAGTTGAGGGGTGCATTAACCCTCTCTCCACCCCTTATTCCACTGTGTTCCATGGGCCTTAGTTGTAGAAATTCGACTGCTGATGTGTCACCTAGTACTGGGCATTTCCCAGACGTATGTTCTCTGTGCCTGACCAGATGTGCCACTCTGCAGTAGCCTCTGTTTGATGCTGAAAGAACCTTGTTTGGTGAGTGCTGTACGGCATGCTTGTCACTCTAAGGGATGTGTCTTCTATCTGGCACTGCATTTCCTGGCAAACAGCTCCCAGGTAGACATATGCATTAATGTTCAGACACTCTATGTGCATTTCTCATAGGGTATCACTTTTCCCTCTAGGTTTCCTAACCCCCCGAGATCCACTCATCTCCACTCTTTTTTCTCTCATCCAACTTCCCTCCTCCATCCCTCCCTAGTCACAGCTGGGGGGGGGTGTTCCTCAATAATTTTTAAGAGTATAAAGAGATACTAAACTAAAATGTTTACGCACTGGATACCTAAATTTTATTTCTTCTCACTTCTGGATCTGTGTTTGATGCTACGACTAACATCAAACCACTTTTCATCTAACAGTTACTAACTCCTTGAAGGCTGTGTAATGTGTAAAACTGGACATACCCTAAGCTAAAGTCAGATCAGTATAAGCTCAGCATCCCTAACCAGAAAATCAAGAATGCTCCAGAATCTGAAGCGTTTGATCATCGTGCTCTAAAGCTTCTGAATTCCTAAGCATTTCAGATTTCATACTTTGGATAAGAGTGCTTAGCTGGAAAAATCCATGCAAATACTCCAAACGTGGAAAAATTTGAAATCTGGAAGACTCCTGATCTCAAGCATTTCAGAAAAGGAATATTCAACTTGTACAAGACTAGTAAAACAATACTGTCACGGCATACAAGATACACAAAGTATCATGACAGACTGAAGGAGGGAGAAAGGTCATGGACCAACATAATAACTTGGACTAGGAGAGGGCAGAGGGTTTCACTCCAGCCACGTTCTGAGTTCTAAAACTTTATTCTTCAGTAGTTGTGTAATTTTCCCTTAAAAAAAAACAAAACCTTAAATCAGTTTTAAGAATTTCCAACAATGACAACTTAATTTTCCTTTTTTGAGACAGTGTCTCATGTAGCCCAGGCTTGCTATGTAGCCAAGGATGGCCTTGAACTTCTGATTTACTTGCCTCTGCCTCTCTAGTGCTGGGATTACAGATGTACACCACTACACCCAGTTTATGTAGTCCTAGGGTTCAAATCCAGGGCTTTGTGAATGCTATGTAAGCATTGTACCAACTGAGCTATATCCACAGCCCTTGGTTGTGTAATTTTTAACAAATACAGGACAATTCAACATTGAATATACATCAGACAATGTGTTTTTTGGTATGAAAACTTGATCCCTAATTTAAAGCAACTTAGAAAGATGCAAACAGATACATAAATAAATCATGACATAATGTAATCTCCAGTTTCATCTTTGTAAAATAAAAATAATAGCTACCTATTAAAAGTCAGTGCAACAAAATGGGGTGTCAGCAAAATGCATAGTGTGTGTCATTTGTTAATAATCTTAATTCTTTTGCCTGTTGAACCATAGGATTGTCACATTAAAATACTGAAGATAAATTTTTAAAGTTATTATTTTAAGTACAGAGATGAATGCCACTATTTTAGGCTACCTACCTATGGAACAATTAACTCATCTTAATAGGCTTATTTACATTTTTCTTCTAAAGCCTATAAATATACAAATAATTGTTTAAAAATAACAGAATTAGTCCTTCTTCTGTTCTCAATTTATGTGCTTATATAAGCAAGTGCAAAGTGTATCAGCATGCTTAGTTTTTCTTGAGGAAAACCCAATTAGAAGAACTATTTATGCCAATGTTCTGTGAACACAGAGGATTTTTTCCTGTTAGTTCATTCCCATGGCTAAATCCGGCAGCTACTTTATAGTTGTACACGTTCTTACACGAGACCCGGAACACTGGAAAAGGCTGGAGAAAGAAAACAATACTGTTGTGCTTTGAATGTGAAATATCCCTCACAGGCTCAGGTGTTAGAACATTTGGTCCTCTGCTGCTGTGCCATTTATGAAGCTTGTTGAACCTTTAGGAGGTAGAGCCTCACTGGGCAAAGAGGATCAATGGGGGTGGGCCTTGAGGCTTTATGGGTCTCACTTCCTATCCACTCTCTGCTTCCGGACTAAAGATGTGTTATGACTAGCCACCTAGGCCATGCCCTCCTCACAATGAACTCTATCCCCTCAAACTGTGAACCAAAATGAATCCTTCCTCCCTTAAGTTGCTTCTGTTAGGTGTTTAGTCACAGCAATGAATAAAGTGATTCCTAATGTGGGCAGAGGCCAGGAAGCAGTGAGGGAAGGCCAGGAGATGGAGGAGAATGGGGGCTGTACCTGAACTGTATGTGTAGAAATATTTTATCATTATTTCCTTAAGACTGTGTTCACATCACATCTTCACTATATCAGATATTATACAAAGTAAGCAAGCTACTTATAGTGATGTTAAGGATTCAAAAGAAAGTTTTATGCATTATTTCATCCACCATATAAAATATACAAGTCTTTCCACTTTCCCAGCCAAAATTTCTTCAGATTCTTTCTTAATGTGCAATTTCAGGAACACAGCAGTATAGTAACACTGTCTATAGAAAGGAGATTAGGATACTTTGTACCTTGATGCAGTCATACAGTGAGAGAGAAAGACTGAGAAAGAACTTGACAGTACGAGAGTGCAGAATATAGCAATAAAGCCTGAGCCAGACAAGGCTGTGAGAGACCAGAAGCTCCCAGGCCACCTGAGGGAACTGCGAGTGTGGCATGTGCGCAGACCCTGAGTGGATGGATGGATGCAAAAGGCAGAGGGCAGAAAAGGCATCGGGCCACAGAACACCATAAATTAGGACACAGAGGCCTATGATCTAATGCTGGAGCCCCACCATGTAGAAGGCAAGAAGTGGGATGACAGGAGAAGTGATTTTCTTACAAAGGGTCTTAAATGCTTGTTACTTACGCTAATAAGTTTAAAAGCAATAGGATATATTTGAAAGGTAAGTGACAAGATCGGATCAGCATAATAAGGCCAGTAAGAAACCTCTCTGAGAGAGGAGCTTGCATTGCCGCCCGTGCTGGCCTTGAACTCAAGGCCCCTCCCCCTCATCCTGGGTGAGTGCTGGGATTACAAGCATGTACAATATACCCAGCCTTAAAATTTTTATCAAACGTTACACAGCTTAGAAGAAGCAGGCGTTCAACTAGTATCACCCTCACTATCATGAGAGAATGTGCCAAAGAGCAGAACCATACTCACCGGATGTCTTTGATAGTGGCTCGTTTCAGGGGGTCCACCTGGAGCATATGCATGAGGAGAGTGGCAACCGAGCGATTGAGATATTCCGGGATATAAAACACACCCCCTCGGATCTTCTTAAACAGTGTAGGCACGTGCTCATCATCAAATGGGAGAGTGCCACAAAGAAGGGCATACAGGATAACCCCACAGCTCCAGATATCAACTTCAGGACCCGCATACAATCTGAAATAAGAGGATGACGCAAACCTGAAATGCCACATGGGATCATTTTTCCTCATCTCTCGTCACCTGCTTCTAGGTGTGCTCTAGATCTACGTGCAGAACAAACTGGGTGCAGACTGATTTTTAAGGTCCCCAGTGCAGTGCACAGCCATCCCAAACCTCAGCAATTATCCTCCCTGGGAAGTGACCTCTCTAACTACTTACACAAATCTACCAAGGGACTAGGTTATTTTTGTTTACTTGTCAAAAATTAATTTAGTTGCACTCTGCTAATTAAGAATTAATATATTTTCTACGGTTGACTTGTTGAAGGAAATATCAAAGTAGATAACCACAAACTTGAAAGCATGATACAATAGTGTATGGACTGCTCTTTTTTCCACAGAACTACTACATAAAAGAAAATGTGCATAACAGAATTTCTGTCTCCAGCACACATTTTAAACAAAAGTCAAAGCATTAAAGTACCTAACTAGTACCATGTAGAGTGTTTACCCTGTGTAATATCATCTTGAGTTCCTACTGCTTTTGTTCAAAATCATTTGCAAGCCTGTGAACTAAGGTTGGCTTGGCTCTAGATACCTGTCTACATAAGACATCCTTCTCCCATAATTTTATCTTATCTGTCTACACTAACACTCCCCTCTAGCACATTACCAAACTCAAACTTGGGTCTGAGGTAAAAAAAAATTAATTTCTATAATTCCAGTGAAAAGAACATAATCTATTTCAATAAAAATTGCTGTCCCTAATTTACTTCATTTGCTGTACTGTCCAAACTCCTCAGAGTGAACTACATGATTATGCAGATCCCCCTTAATTCACCTGTTGAAATTCTAATCCTCAAGTTAAAAATCTGAGGAAGTGAAAATTTTAAAAGGAAATCTGGCCATTAGGGTGAAGCTCTCACAAGTAAGGTTAGTGCTGTTACAAAACAGACTACCCCAAAAAAGACCCTGATCCCTTTCCACCCCGTGAGTTTACGGTGAGAAGACAGTGGGCTGTGAGGGATAGGCCTACAAGACACCAAATCTGACAGCATCTCCCCAGCTCCAGACCTGTGAGGAATGGATTTCTGTTGCTTATGAGGCATCATGCATGGTTTTCTTTTACAGCAGCCCAAACAGAACTAAGAACTCATGATCTGCAACTTGTAATAATACCTTTTCAATATTTTCTTTCATAGCATTCTGGTAACTTTTAAAATCAGATACCTGCCAATGTAGAATGACTTGACTTCATCACTGCCACCTGCATAAATATTTTATAACACGTCACTGAGTTAATTACAAGAGTAACTTCATAGACTCCACTGTCAGGTTTCTGTTTTGTTTTCTTTGGTTGTGGTTTTTTGATTTTTGTAGCCCCAGCTGGACTGGAACTCTCTATATAGACCAGGCTGGCCTTGACCTCACAGAGATCCCCTCACCTCTGCCTCCCAAGTGCTAGGATTAAAGGCATGTGCCACACAGTTGGTGGAGTTTAATTTTTTTCAAACAATATTGTCACCCAAACTTCATTCTTCCAAAGACAGAATATAAAACAATAGTCTGTGAACTTTGTGAAATAAGTAAAATATCATTAAATAATCATGCCTGATTAATAACGACCCTAGCTTAAATTTCAGCAAATGGTTTCTCTGTTACTTGAAATTTTCTACAATGAAAGATCTATTTCAGTCATTTTCGGTGGAACTAGATGCATAATATATTTTTAACAATGTCTACATGAAGTTTTAAAAGAAAATTAACAATTGTAGGGCTGGGTGTAGTGGCACACACTTCAAGCCCAGTTCTCAGGAGGGAGAGGCAAGAGGACCTCTGTGAGATCACAGCCAGCCTGGTCTACATAGTGAGGAGTTCCGGACCAGCTGGGGCTACAGAGAGACACTGTCTCAAAAAAAAAAAAAAAAAAAAAAGTATTCTTCATGCAATATTCAAAATATAAATGAACAATTTGTTTCTACTATGTTAAAAATATTTTGTTCCAAAGAAGATATAATTGTTATTAGAATGAATGCAAGATCACAAAATGCTTACTCTTCACTAATAAACTGTTACCTTCCTGAGATGACTTCAGGTGCTGCGTAATTAGGAGAACCACAACTAGTTCGAAGAAATTCACCATCTGACATCATATTAGATAGTCCTGAAAATAAATGCAAAGTTTATGTGCTGCTAGTTATCAGAGACACAGATGGAAACATCATGAAAACTTTTGAGCGCTTTAGGCTTCCTAAATCATACAGTTCAATCATTTTAAAAAGCAACGGTGGAACCAGGCATGAAGGTGCATGCCTTTAATTCCACCACAGTCAGGAGGATCTCTGTGAGGTCCAGTCCACACTGGTCTACATGGCGAGTTGCAGGCCATTTGTGCCTACAGAGAGACCCTGTCTCAAAAGGCCACACCTGGCCAAGGTGTAGGGAAAAAAAGACTGCAGAATGCATGTCGCTAGATAGGACTCCTATACTAAACCTCATCCACCCATGGCTCAGGAGCTATTGAAGAAGAGGGGGTGGAAAGATTGCAAGAACCAGGGTTGCTGTATGAACAGAAGGAAACAGAGACTTTCAGGCCTCTGGGAACTCGCTCATATGAACTTGCAGCAACAGTGAGCGCATGCACAATATCCATGCTGACTCAGACAAAATCCCAGCATAGAACTGGGGAAATGGGCAGCAGGCCCCAACCTAGCCAAGGAGCTATTGGCAACTGATTATTGCTGGGTAAGGGAGAATAGATCTTAAAGGAGTGACTCTAGATAGGCTGGCTCGACTCCAGTGGATGAACTTGCACCAAGGAACCCCTAGGTGCAAAAGCTTGACTGGATAGGCCTTAACATATATTATAGAATGCATGAAATTCAGTATGGAGGGGGAGGGGTAACGGGGAAGTGTGGATAGTGGAGGGGATTTAAATATGATTATTGTAGGAAATGTACAAAAACTCAAAAAATAAAAATAAAAAAGCAATGGTGAGCAGTGACAGTGAGATAGCTCAGCGGGTGGAAGTACATCTGCAAACTTTGAAGACCAGAGTTCAATCCCCAAATCCCACAGATGGCAGGAGAGAATTAACTCTGAACTGTTGTCCTCTGACCTCCACACTCATGTAACTGCACTCACATACACATATATGGACACACACACACATACAGAATGAATGACTGAATGAATGGATGAATGGATGGATGGATGGATGGATGAATGAATGAATGAATGAATGGAAAGCATTGTTAGAGTAGAAACAGCCTTTTGGAGTACTTACACTATCACACAAAAAGCTAAAGAACACCACATGTATACGTGGTGTTAAACTAGCTACATGAAAATTTTTACTCACTTCACATACGAGGCTATTTGAAATTATATTTCCATTTTAAAAAATAAAAGCATTCAAACATTATTACCTACTTTGTTATTTGAAAGAATAAAATAGAGGCTGCCACTTTAAAAAATTCTTAAAAGCATTTTTAAGGTCTTAGAGCATTTATAATCAGATAGAAGCTCAAACAGATAAGCAATTAAACTAGCAAATTTTTACTCACTTCACATACGAGGCTATTTGAAATTATATTTCCATTTTAAAAAATAAAAGCATTCAAACATTATTACCTACTTTGTTATTTGAAAGAATAAAATAGAGGCTGCCACCTGCCACTTTAAA